CCCAAAGTCAGCTCATGAATATTATAATTAGCAAATCTGAAATCTCTGACGTCAGAGTAGGGCAGATTTTCGCGGGAAAATCTAAACACATTAGGAGTCAATGTGAATCGTGACGGAAACGGGTTACTTTTATTGTCAAATTATGTTGAATAGTAATAATATTTATGATAAATGTCATGGAATTGAATTAATTATACTCACGTCTATATTCCCCCTTCTTTATATTGTTCTGGGAAATCAAATAGAGAAATATAAATGTGAAGAGTCCAATGTTTCCTATTTTCAAATTACGCCGACTGTACAAAACCCCATGTTTAGTTCTTGACTGTCAAAATGTCAACATCTCATGGTAATCTTAAGTTCGTGTAATATTTTCTCATGTGGTGAAGAAGGGGATACGGCTTAACCTTGAAGAAAAAGTATTCGACTCTCAAATCTGGGCCAACGGTGCGTTATTATCGCTTACGTTCAGCCAGCTATTGTACCACATGACAATGTTACTTTTATGTCTGCCAAAGAATTTGACAATGGTTACATGAGTGATGACTAATTTCACTGAACAATGTTAAAGTCGTTCATGTATGCTTTGAGACAATGTACCAGAGTTGCTTGTTTTACCCACGATTGTCTATTTCAAGAGATTTATCTCTTGAAAAGCCCATGGGCGTTCTTATAAATATCGATCTTTAAGAGAACTATCAGGATATTTTTGGACGTAGACCTACAAGAGAGAAACTCCGGCAATTCAAGCCCGTAGTCAGGATTTACTTTGGGGAGCGGTTTTACTAAGGGGTAACTTTTTGACTACGGCCCTGTAATTAAGCTTTGAATTGCAATTAAAATGCAAACTACTACAGTATGATGAATATTAGTTACTTCAATATATAATTTGACCATGAGCAATCGCAAATTATTGGGTCAACCCGATGAGAAAAATTCAAGTGGACTCTGACATTTAAAACTGTTCCTCATACTTTTTATTAGAAACATAATGAACTATTTAATTGAATAATCATGATAAATGTATATTATTGTTTGAATGATTGTCAATCTGGTTTGCGTAGTTGGATTCACTTTGTTCAAAGATGAGCACTCGTATCACAATTATTTCTATGGTTTGATTTACCGGATGGTGTATTTAAGACCCAGCTTAAGACAAAATAGTCAGAAAAATATATTTCACTTAGTTTTGTTATCATTTGTAATGAGATCTATTTCACTCAATCGGCGATCTAATACTAATTGAAGTTTTGGCGCGAAATGTGCCCTGCTTTGACGTCATTGATTTTCATTGTCCAATCAGCGCAGCGGTCAAATGAGTACACTTTGGACTTTGGGGAAAGGTGAATAGCAAAATAATAGTTCACAAATGAATTCAGCAGTGGGGAACAGCAAAAGTACGGCTTGAAAGGGAGGGGGGGGGGTATGTATGTACCAGGCAAATATAAGGGCTTTAACATGGGATTTAGGGGTAGGTACCCTGTACAAGTAGGGTTTTGAAGGGAGGTTGAAGGGGTATGTTACCTTCAAAAGTAGGATTTTAACGAGGGTCAAGGGGGTAGGCCCCGGTGTAGACACCCTGTAAAATGGGTCTTTAACAGGGGTTGAGGATTGATTGAAGATATCCTGGAAAAGCTTGGCTTTAACATGGGTTAGGATGTTACCGGGGGATGTTAGTTAAAGTCGGGGCTTAATGTGGTCTTAAAAAGCTCCAACGTTCCTCTTAGGGTGGTTAGTCACACTTTTTTCTCTAAGACTCAATTGTATTGTTGTAGCCAGAATGTTTCGGGTCAAGAGACCAACTGCGAAAGAAAGTTATCAAAAGGATTAATGCAAATGCCTTTTATATGAACAAAATGTCAACTACGGGGGAGTTTCCTGCCCCTGCGATCTTATTTGTCCATTTAGAATAAGATAAACCATGTAACCAGGTCCATGTATTCCATTCTGACAGAATTTCAGAATCAATTTCAAATTAAGTTTATTATGTTCGAAATCCCGAATGCCCCCGGGAGAATCTCTCTTCGAAATTATAATGTCAGATAGATACAAAATAATATTGATATAACTGAAGATACTTACTTTGGCTCCCGTTTTAATTAGACGGATTGACGGAGTCAGAAAATCCGCCAAATTAAAATCGGTCAAATTTCAGTTTGGAATTTTTGTCAAATGCACTTCAGAAATTAAACTTCTGGGGCCCCCTTTCCTGTCAACTGAGCATGTCATCAACATGTCATACATTATCCCAAAAGAAATACAGAAAATATCTTAGTAAATACCCGTCCTAATGACATAAACCATGGGCTTTCAAGAGAATCTTTTGATAGCCCATGTCTAAACATAGACAAAGATTAAACTTCAGTCCTGATTCCGCCAAATTAAATTGCCGCCAATATTTGAAATTGAGCAAATTCGTCAAATTAAGTAGCGTGAAAATAAGTGTATCTAGAGTATCCGTAAGGGGGGGGGGGGGGTGGCTCAAGGCATAAAGATTACCGGGAGATACAAACCGGAGAAATAGATGAGATGATGAATATGTATTGTATGTTTTCCAGTTTTAATTATGTTGTTTGTTATTGGTCCTAATATGATTAGGGACCACCAATATGTATGTGACAGTTTTGAAGTTCAAAAAACGGGTAAAATTGGTTAAAGTAAATTGTATATGATAATCAGAGCCGGGATTCAGAGATACACAACTAAAATAACGAGGAATTAAAAATAGCCTATAGACTATGTAGACTGCAATCATGGACTCACTTGAAAGCCCATGCTGTAATCAAGGTAATTTAGGGATATCCCGTCTTTGAAGAAGCAAAACGCAATCAAACAGTTAATTAGTTATTGTGTGATCTAGATTACAGATCAAAGAAATCAATTCCAAGATCATTATTACTATGTATTTAGTTCGTTGTATTTTTGAAAAGGGGTACAAGAAAACTATGTATTAATATATCAAGGGCAGGGTGCTCCTGAATCTGATAGTTAAAGTGTATGCTAGTATGAGGGGCGACGTTTAAAGTAAAGCATTGTTTTAAATCCTGGGAAAATGCACTCCTCCATTTTGCAAATATTGTGTGATGCCAATGAACCCTGAAATTTGTTTTTGTTTTCGCGAGCAATCAACAAATATGTTTATGAAAATCTTGCGAGTCCATCCATATGATTCTCATTCTGTCTCAGCTTAGTGTTGATTAGATTTTATCCCCACTCTTCCGACGTCTGTGTCTCCCTCATTTTTACCCTATATTCAGTTTCTTTTTAAACCAAATTTACAAATATCCGTTCACATATATAAATCAGTAGTTGTTTATGACAAGATTATTTTTATAGATTATCAAAAATTAAGGTAGCGTATTCTGTAATTTCAACTATATGTTAGCCCCCTCCCTCCCCTTCGCCGACAGTAATGTATTGTTTAAAATAATACTGCATCCACCGGCCAATTATTCTTTCATCATTTTGAGCAGTTTTCGTGTGATTTTGAACAAATATCAAATGTGACCCCACCCCTGGAATAAGTTAGCCCCCCCTCGCCGACAGAGATGTCTAGTTTAAAATAATACTGTATCCCCTGGCCAATAATTCTTTCACCATTTTGAGCAGTTTTCGTGTAATTTTTGAGCAAATATCAAATGTGACCTCACCCCTGGAATAATTCAAAAGTCATCCCCTTAGCAAATGCTGGATTTGGCCCTGGTACTTGTCAATGCGAAATAATGGGTGTTGATTAGTGGAAATACCCATTTAAACAGACCTTCTTAATTTATAACAAGTTAACAATTAAGAAGCCATGTTGCGATGTACTTTTCGTGACTCAAGTCGGATATAAAGTGAAAACATACTCTTTTTGATTTGATATCCCGTATCTAGCTAAAGCATACCCTGCGTGCAGAGTCTAGTTAAACTACAAGACGAAGCTCTCTTTTAAGAAGTGAAGTCAAACGAATGCAAAGGGTAGCTAAAGCAAAACTTTAACACGTGCGGTAAATTATAATTTAAATGTTTCCATATATAGCGCAAAATCTCACATGGCAATTTAATAACGACTAATTTTGTCTTGTGTCTAATGGCCTAGTCACATAGCCCGGCCGATGTCCGGCATCGGTAGAGCTCGGTGGATTTTTTTGGTGCCACCGAGCTCTCCTCATCGGAAGCAGAGCTCGGTGACGTGAACGGACTCCGTCCGGACATCTTCAGGTACTATACTTTCCAAGGCTCTGTCCCACATCGGCCGGAGCTCGGTCGGAGCTCGGCCGGTGTCCGTTAAAAAAACCTCGTCCTCTGGTTGTCTCAGATGCGCGGGACACCGACCGATACTCGGCCGTGCACCGGCCGACGTGTGTTCTGATGTGGTTACGATGGGGCTGCGATGAGGGAGCTCGGTGAGAGCCCGGTGAAATTTAACTCCGAAGTTAAAATTTCACCGAGCTGCCACCGATGCGGTTTTAAGCAACAAACGCCACGGATGTCCGGCCGGTGTCCGGCCGGTGTTCGGCCGAGTTCGGTGAAAATTGCATCGCTGGCTCATCGGAACCTCATCGGCCGGGCTATGTGACTAGGCCATAACCACGGTGTGCTTAGAGATTTCTAGACTCTAGTCACGCTCTGTCCACGCCAGCTCTAAGCACGTCTAAGTACGCCTAGAAATCTCTAGATACACGGAGTTCCTAGACCGACTAAGCACGTCTAGAAATTACTAGAAATTCCACATTTGATGCAGTGTTTGTGATAAAAATGTCATGGGGATTCCTGCCTACAACGCGTGAATTAAGGAAAAAAAATCGTACCTTCGTTCTGGTAACCAGCGTAATCGAGCGGATCACAAGTGAAATTGTTGCATCGAATATTATCCTGCCAAATGGATATTTAAAATTATGCATTATTAAAAAAAGTTATCACCAATTGTAAATACGATTTTAGCCCACCTTGTAAACCAATACAAAAAATTTCATATGGGATAATGTAACTATGATAAACCATAGAACTATGTGTACCGTCATCTACGCCAACCATACAACGGCATTTGTCTATTTTAAAAACAAAGGTTGGATCACATTTCATTAATACTGTCTTGTCGTCAGAAATTCCTCTCACGGTGTACTCTCTTCCCCCCAGAGGGACGTACCACTTTCCGCCCAAACAGCATGCTGTTGGTGGGGTCCCTCCATATTGTGGGTCACCTTTAGGTGGACATCCTTGTAATATGTAAAATATGGTTAAATGTACGTTAAGATTTTATTAGACAGAGTGCTTAAAACTGCTTGAAAATCGAAACGGCAACGTATGAAGTGCCCATGGATACACAAATGCAAGTAGTTTTCGCACTTAAATAATCGTTCGGTTACAGTGCTTCAGATCATATACTACACTACGCGTGTAATTTCCCACTGAAAGTTCTACAGTATGTCTCAAAAAGAACGCAACAAGCACAAACATTGGAAAATAACACAATCAGTGATACTACATCAATTCCATTTGATTTACCATGAAGCCACATGTCTCCTCTTTCCAATGATATGTCATTTATTCATATGTGACCAGGGACCACAGAATGATGATTCATTGTACACAACGACATTGTACACTACGACAGAAAATCACCAATGAGGTCGCTGCCCTCTGCCAGAACCCACAAATGATTCAAAAAGCTGTGCGTAACATTGAGAGACGAGTCAATATCTATTTGCAGAGAAATGATGGGCATGGAATGTAATATTTCATGAGTAATCATTCAAAAGATAAAAGAAAAATGACTTTAACTGACTTGTACTGTTTTAATAATGAGACTTCTTTTTTCATACGCGTGATGTACTGTTAACTAAACCATCATGGATATTGGATACTGATAAACACACTACGCGAAATCATTTTTTCTTGGTAAAACTAAGTCTGAAGTATGTTATGTAAGTTCTGTGACCAAAAGTTGATCATCAGCCCCAATTACACAATGATTACATACATTACACACCTTATTGTACAATAAGGATCAGTTGATTTAGGATATTTCATAACTTGGCACCAAGGCATTTTCACCCATGTGCGAAAAAACAATGATTATTCAGTGGTCCATGATCGCATATTAACAATTGATATATTATTGGAAAGAAGACACACGTGGCTTTATGGTAAATTGAATGTAGTAACACATAGCTGGTTTTCAATGATACGTATTTTAAACAAGCTCGTTGCGTACATGTAAGATCTTTGAAGCTAAAGCATGTATGACATATCGGAATCAATATTGCCGGCATAGTATTCCCGTTGACACCAACGTGAAAATGCAAATTTCCCGTTCTAAACACGGAACTCTAAGGCTGAACAGGTATCTTAAGTTGACTAATAAGCGCTTGTTTTGTATGCGCGCTTTACACATTATACTAAAATGATTCATGTACTTTCCATTCATGGTTACTTTGTGAACAAACATTGCAAACTTAAAGCCTCTTTTGAGTAAAATACCGGGAAACGGTAAAGCAAAAGATGCCTAGATCTTTAAAAACTCACGCTCTTTATCCACATGTGTAATAAGGTCTACACTAAGCCATGGATGCCGTTTCGTTTCGTTCGGTACGGATACTAAGCCCTAGGTATTAAATAAACCCTTTGTCTATTCCGTAGACTTTTAAGATAACATAGAAAATAAATGTTATGTATGCACAAAATCAGAACTTTACTAGTGAATCTCACCTGCTACTCTGCAGCATTGTTCAGATTTATGTTGAATAGATACACCGTCACATTCAGTACGATCAATAATCTCTCGTTTGCCGACGACGCAAGAGCAGTCAGTGCAAGTCCTTGTTCGATTGCACGTCCTTTTTCCATACTCAGCACAGGGTTCGGTAACGTCACCTCTATTTGTTTGATCATCAGACTCCATACATGAGCTATAGACCCATTCGCTCCATTCAGTCCATTTACACTCTAATGTATCGAATTAATTTTTATGACTGAAGATTACTTGAGGGCAGTATCAGATTTAGAAACTTTTGACAATTTAGAAACTCAACAATTTTTATTTGACGTTATTTGACATATCTATTTTATATATGGTTCCTAAGAGCGTCGAAGGTCAATGTTAATGTAATTTGTCAAAACTAAATAATATAATGAACTGAGAAGGAATCCCCGATTATGAGTGATGCCATCACAAAAATGCGCGAGGTTTATCATCAAAATTGACAATTTTACGTTGATTCACCAGACTGTGGGATATAGCCTACCTTCTAAGAAAGATAATCCAAATCTCTTGGCCCCCTAATTCAGGAATTGTGTTAAAAACCCACCCGACTCTTTAATTTCAGAAAGATAAAGATTTTTAAGCGCATTTGGTTCTGTATCTCTAAATTTGGATGTATAGAGCTCACTAAAAAATTTCAAAAGGCCTTAGTTAAGGCTTTATGTCCAGTTTCAGAACCCATATTCTTACTTTTGAAAATGGATTCTACAAATACGCTCCCACATGAATCTACTTGTTGACTCGATCATTAGTCAATGGTGTATATCCCCATGTAAGTCAATGTGCCCTTGCAGAAAATCTCAAGTTGATAGAGTCTCAACAAGTAGATTTACGTGGGATCGTATTGTAGAATCCTTCTTCAATAGTAAGAATAGGGGTTCTTAAACCAAATATTGGGGTTGCTTTTTAAACATTTTTGTTGGCTCTAATATGAACATTTCTTATTTGGGAGAACTTACATTTTACTCTTTGAATCAAAAATAACACCACCATTTAGTAAGATAACAGGAATCACAATGTATCGAAATATGTTGGAGCTGGGTTCGGGCAATGTTATAATATAGCAAAATTAGATGATTCCATACTTACTTAGGCAGCATTGAGTATTGCAAATTTCAATTCTGCTTTGTTCCGAATTTCCTGGACACACGCTTGAACTCCCAATGTTGCTGAATGTTTTAGTTCTTGTCCTGTAGTTAGTAATGTTGCCACCGCCACAAGTATGGGAACATCCGTCATCACTTCTTGTTGTCCAAGAAGTCCACTGGGACCAATCACAACCTAAAAATCATATAAAAATGAATTACTTTTAATATTTCTTGGCTGGAATCTAAGGACAATATCACCGGGAAATCATTAAAAGGTACGTGAGCATTTTTTCTGTCGATGTTTAATGGTTTCGGGAGAAGATTCCCGGGGATTTAGGATGATTAATGATTGTGAATATCGGCAGAAATTAGGTAAGTTCGGGGGTTTTATTTGTAGCTAATGAAAATAGATGTTAGCCTTGATGAAATATCCAAACTTCGATATATTCTGACGACAGGTCCATGATCATTGGATACATATCTGCACTATTTACTCAACCTTTAAAAGTCTTCAGCGTTGTTTTTGAATGAAGGAACAATGTGGAGCTCTACTATTCCGTTATTTTTAAATACATCCCAATAGATCTTTCAAGATGGATAGGCACAGAAGGCTTAATGTCTAATATTTTTCTGTGAACATTTTTATGATGGATGATGAAGAATAAACGTTTTATTATAAAATTAGGCCTTGCTTTAAATTATTGGCTGACCTGTAGTATGCGATCCAGCCTGACATATTGACAAGCCACTGGCCTCAACTATTTATGTCAACACGGATTGTATTCATTGAACTAGTTTAGGGATGAGGAGTATTCTTTTAATTAATAAGAGCCTTTTGACACCTCGTTCACCATGTTAAATCTCCCAAATATTTTACTTTATATAGAGGAGTAATTTGATAGAGGTCTCCTATCTTCTCACTTAAATATAAATTTCACTTTCTATAGAATTTGAACACTAGGGGAAAACAGAGGTTGTCCATTTACATATGATGAATATCCATTTAGCAGATGTTATAATAAATAACTGGAAATAAAGTTAAGAGAGGAAAACTTGAATCCCATTGCGGCCAGTCAAAGTAAAAAATCTAAATGTAATGTTTCGTCCAATCATTTGTGTTAGAACTGTACCGTGCAAAATACAACTTTTGTCTTTCACACTGTAACTGCACTCTGCAATTTTTTTTTATCACAAACGTGTATCAGTATCATATGTTTAACACATATACAAATAACGAATGGCTATAGACACCCCTGGGGTCACTTAACATTTTTTGAAAAATGCAATGTCGTTAATATCCTAGATATGTAGGATCAAATTGTAGATAAATATGTATATGTTCAAGAAATAGCAATAAAAAGCATTTAAGATTACTGATATAAGTATATTTTGGTTGATTTGGGAGGTATGTATCACTTCCTGTGAAAATGTGAATTTTTTATCAGTCTCAGAAAATGTCTTCAGAATGTAAAAACCCAACTTGGCAGATGTCCCGTGTCACTCTATACACTCATTGGATTAATATTTTGTACATATAAATAGTCATATTTCAATAGTCATTGAGTAGGGATTAGTTATGTTTGCAATTTTGTTGACCTACTTCTTTTTAGATAGAGGAAGGTCATGATAAACTCTTGTTTTGTTCATATAACGCTTGGTTCTTACCTAGAAAGTTATATGTATTGAGGGAATAGTGTACTTCTAAGGTACTTCCTGAGATATGTAAAAATCTAGGTAAGGACCAAGCGTTGTTCAAAAATGGAACTTTTCTGCAATTTTCAGCATGAAATAAAACGATGTCAGCCATTTTGTACCCCCTGTATGGAGACAAGAGGGTTACATCTAAATCATAGTACACTTTCTTGAGATCAAGCCAACCAATTTAAACGATGAACAGATGACCATCTTCAAGTAGATGGGAAATATACCATCATTGTTAAAAAAGATACATTTGGCCTAATTTGTGTAAAAGTCCAGTAATCGGTTTGTGTCCTCTAAAGCTCATTAAACATGGGTGGAGTATAACCCAGGTCCAGATGTATGTAATAGTATTGATGCAATCACTGGATGATGTTGTACATGCCTTGTTGGGAGTAGGGTTACCGAATTTTCCAACCGGAACCGTAGCCATCTTGTTACCGAAACGGAAATAGCGTAATCGAATGCAGTACCAGTGTTTCAAGAAGACAGTAATACATGAATATATGATCAAATACCCATTTCATACACTCGAGACTTACATTGTTGCGTATTACAATCCGTTCTTCTATCCTCAACAGAGACACCTGGACATTCTTTATTTCGGAACATTTCACTGAACTGTTCTTCTCGTGTCCGCTTTTCGGCTCTACTTCCAGTCCCACATAACTTAGAGCAAGGTCCACCCGACCAGGAACTCCATTTTGACCACATACAGCCTAGGCCTACATTTGTAAAAATGAAAAATTTCACTTCGAAATTCTCAAAACGATATTTCTTATGACAATTTTGGTATATTATATTTTCTTGTCGATGACTCTCCTGAATTGTGACTTTCCTGAAATAATACTTTGATTTTCATTCAGGCTTTATAGCAGTCGATTGTGAAATCAAATTATTGTGTATAAATAAACCGTATGGATACTGCAAATTTTAAAGACAAATAATTTAAAGCTGAACGCAGCAGTATAAAATGTCAGAGTATTCTTATTCCAAAGTAATTTGAATTTTTGATTACTTAGCTGTCCCCCAAAAATGAACTGTTTTAACACCAAATAACTATTTAAAACTCTAAGGTATTTTAATTCATGTACAATATTGAAGACTATCCATATTATTGTTTTGAAATTATAAACTAATGGTACTCCAAGGGGAGATAATCCCCTAACAGGAAGTTTTATAACCCAAAAATTGTTGCATACCATCAACACAAATCATTTTTGCATTTTTCTGCTCAATCCATTTCGTATCTCCCATTAATTCTCCGCTTGATGCAGAAGAAGGACTGCTTTGAGCTCCATTTTTAATGGCGATGATATTTGAACGAGCAGAATAAAAATCCGAATCAATCACCCATCTGCCCGTTCTTGCAGTAGACATTACAAAGTATAAGTTGTAGTCTGAGACACCCTGTTTCGTATAACTAGGCATATTGGCAACGGTCTTGTTATTGTTCTGATATATGCCATTCATTGAGGACACCTCAATACCAGATACTTGTATACGTCTACAACCTTTAATAAAATATCATGCAAGGGGGATTTATGAAATACAGAAAATATTTTTTCCAGGAAAGATGTTTCAAGATGCAAGGACAAAATATTTTCAATACTTCACCAGAACTCATTGCATATCTAACTCATTATTCTAAGATATCTGATACGTATATAAATAATTGGCCAAAAATATGATCAAGATCCGAAGTTACTTTTCATATCATGATATCATTAACAGGGTGTCCAAAAGTTGTGTATATATAAGCGCAAATGCCAAAGGGAAGGGTGACTAAAAAACTTTTAAGAAACCCAACAAGAAAAGCAAACTGTAAGTGTAAATCTGTCATTAGAAAAGTAGACCCTATATATTCCAAAACCATGATCTAACGTGAAAATAGATTGTAAATTGTAAATAGAGTGATAAGTGTCAACTATTTTTATATTTACATAATATCATATCGTAAGTAAATATAACGATTTTTGACACTTGATTACTCTACACAATCGTTTGATTATTTATTGCAAAATGATTTGTGATACTCCCTAGATCTGCTTGTTGTGAATCAATAGACAAATAACGATACGTTTTGGATGTATATAATATTATAATATATTTATTAAATTCACAAGTTTGGTGTATGGGTGGTACTTTTAATCGTCCAAAGTGTTATTAATAATTCTAGTACAAATAATAAATATAATGTTCATGTGTACTATTAAATCAATAAAAACTTAAGTAATACGTAATTTTATACTGGCAATTGTAGAAGGACATGCGTTCTACCGAAGCATCAGTTGAAAACTGAGGTATGCATGTACACTGTATAACCCCGGTGAATAGGAGTGTCTACCGGGAACTGTCAATCAAACATTACATATTCATACAATATGTCACAGACGGTCGCCCCACAAAACTTTTAGATAATTTAGTTTGCATTGTTTCGAATTATTATTTAAATCCAGACCCAGAGTTCAATACATCCGTACATGTTAGTGTTAAAAAAGCAATATGACCTGTAATATATTTTTGATTGTTTAGAGAATTTTCGTCAAGAAACGTTTGGAAACAACAATTAAAACGAAGTTTGTCCGCATTTGTTTTGGTTGTTCTGCCGTGAAAGCAATGGGATTCTCTCATCTGCATATCACTTGACCTTGTGCCATGCCATAGACTGTTGTGGGGATTTTCGAAGCAGTGTGACACTGAGTAGCCGAAAACACACCGCCACTCCAATTACATTTTCCTGTTTATTCTCTTTGGCTGCGTTTTTGAACTGCCCGCGGTGCAAGTATATTGCATAACTTTTAATAAGTTTTCCCCCGAAGTATCATGAAAAAGAACAATGAACAGTGTTGCAAATTACATGCTCACACGTTTTCAACAAAAACAGCTAATCCAAGCGCACTTAGACCGCTAATTACGCCGTGGCTACCTTGTCAACTAACCCCGTGTGTCAACCGCTTCGCCTTGTTGCTAGTGCACCACAGGAGTTCCAATGCAATGAACCGTAATGCTTTTCTAAAGAATTGTGTGAGTGTAGGTGCGCTTGGATGAACTGTTTTTGTTGAAAACGTGCGACCATATTAATCGCACCGCAGTGCCTATTGATCTTTTTTGTAATACTCGGGGAGATAATTCATTTAAATATTACGCAATTGACTTGCGCCGCGGACATTCAAAAACGCAGTCTCAGTATAAACCCTTATTTACATACCACACATTAAGTTAATCTATTATGTCGCCGGGTTATGTAGCTAATGACGTGGACCGATTGCAATGATATTGAGGAAAATAACAAAAAAACGGTGAGGAAAAAGGTGCCTAAATCTTTGAAAACCCACCCCCCTTTGTCCACAAATGTAATAAGGTCTATACTAAGCCCCGAATTTCGTTTCATTTCGTTCAGTACATATTCTAAGCCCTAGGTATTAAGTAAACCCTATCTATTCAATAGACTCTTCAGATAACATAAACCAATGTTGTAGAGTTGAATGAACAGTCGTACCATCATTCTTAGTCCTGATAGAAAAATAAATGTTATGTAAGCACAAAATCAGAACTTTACTTGTGAATCTCACCTGCTACTCTGCAGCATTGTTCAGATTTATGTTGAATAGATGCACCGATACATTCAGTACGGTCAATTATCTCTCGTTTGTTGACGCAAGAGCAGTCAGTACAAGTCCTTGTTCGATTGCACGTCCTAATACCATACTCAGCACAGGGCTCGGTAACGTTACCTCTATCTGTTTGATCATCAGACTCCATACATGAGCTATAGACCCATTCGCTCCATTCAGTCCATTTACACTCTAATGTATCGAATTAATTTATATGACTGAAGATCACTTGAGGGCAGTATCAGATTTGGAAACTTTTGACAATTTAGAAACTTGACAATTTTCATTTGACATTCTTTGTTATATCTGTTTTATATAAATTTCAAGGTTCCTAAGTGTGTCAAAGGTCAATGAGAGTTGCAATTCTAGGATTCAATAGCTGTTTTTCTTGCACTTGCGAGCAACTGGAAGTTTGTCTTCGTTTCAACATGGAATTAATAACAAAATGGATGAATTTCCGTTGGAGGAAGTATTCATTTTCATCATTTTCACAAAGAAGGAAGTCAATTCGCATCCAAATATTTTACCCGTATGTTGATAGTAGCATCCAGTTACTGAAAAACTAGTCAGTCATATCTCAAAACTTACGCAAGTGATAAAATCAAGAACACATTTTTTATCAAATTTTTCATGGACTCTCCATCCTCCTTTCTAGCCCTTTCTTTGGATTGCATTGCTATGTCCCGTGATCCTAATATGTGAATATTACATTATTGTAATTTGCCAAAACGAAAAATGAATTGAACTGTGAAGGAATCCCAGATTTTGTGTGATGTCATTACAAAAATGCACGAGGTTTATCATCTTAAAATAAATTCCCAACTCAAATTGACAATTCTACGTTGATTCAACGGACTAGGGGATATATCCCACCTTCCCAGAAAGGTAACCAAAATCTTCTCGACCCCCCTAATTCAGGAATTGTGTAAGAAACCTATCCTACTCTTGCTAAGTGGCTTTAATTCCAGAAATATAACTGATTTTTAAGCATATTTGGTTCTTTATCTTTAAATGTGGATATAGAGCTAACCCCAAAAATCAAAAAGGCCTTAGTTAAGCTTTAATGTCCTGTTTCAATAGTAAGAATAGGGGTCCTTGAACAATATATTGGGCTTGCTTTTTAGAACTTTTTTGTTGGCTCTCATTTAAATATTTCTTATTTTGGAGAACTTGAACTTTGCTCTTTGAACTCAAAATAACGTCACCATTTAGTAAGATAGCATGAATCACAATGGATCGAAATATGTCGGAGCTGGGTTCGGGCAATGTAATAAAATAGCAAAAATTAGATAATTCCATACTTACTTAGGCAGCATTGAGTATTGCAATTTTCTGTTCTGCTTTGTTCCGAATTTCCCGGACACACGCTTGAACTCCCGATGTTGCTGAATGTTTTAATTCTTGTTCTGTAATTAGTAATTTTACCACCGCCACAAGTATGGGAACATTTGTCACCACTTCTTGTTGTCCAAGAAGTCCATTGGGACCACTCACAACCTAAAAAGCGTATAAAAATGAATAACTTTATCATATTTCTTGATCAGGTCTATTACAGGGTGTCAAATAAGTCCCGTCCCCCCTGCTACAGCTAAAACCTTAATAGATGGTACCTAGTGTGATATACCATTGGAAAGATTATCCAAAGTTACGTTAACTCACCAACTCTCAAGTATTTTGGATGAAATTTACCTATATTTTTATGATGTGCTTTATGGCTAACGTACCCTCCTTTAGGCAGCTTTTTGCGTCAAAATTACAAGGATATGACCTCGGAAATACATAAAAAAGTTAATCTTTTTCGCATTCCAATTGTTACAAAAAGGTTTTCACCACTTTCCTTGCACCTCTATTTTCTACATATCTAACCTTATCCAGAAATTGGTTAAATTCATTGTCATATACATGTTTAATCAACTTTTGGTCCTTTGACCTTTCTTATATCTGATTCTTAAAATCCTGCCAAATACGCCAAATTGCCATGTTTCTAGGCATATGGTCTCCTCAATTGATACAATGTAAAAATTTGTGAGATTGATTAACAGGTGTCAGATATATGCCAATCAACGTTACTTTGGAAGACCTTTCCAATGGTATATTACACTTGGTACTAAATATCTTGGTTTTGGCTGTAGAGGGGGGACGGGACTTATTTGACACCGTGTATATCATTTTCTGGTACAGGCGATCAAATTCATATTGCACCAATAATAATGACTCAACTTCTGACCCAAATATAGCGTCTGTGTGCGTTACAACATATTCTATTTAATTAGATGAAACTTACATAGACCAGTATTACAGGTCTCCGGTCGTTTTTGTTCCGATTTTCCTGGGCACGATGCTGAATTTCCCACAGCGCCATATATCATTGTTCTTGTCCTGTACTTATCTATGGAACCAACACCACAGTTTGCAGAGCATTGTTCCCCAAATCCACCATTTCTTGGCCTCCATCTACTCCATTGGGACCACTCACAGCCTAAAACAATAGATAACCAATCATTTCCTTCGATAGATATTTGCATTAATACAAAACTATATCAGCTTTAATAACAAAATGATCCAAAGAGCTACATACTAGGACAATTAAGACAAAGCCATCATTGTCATACAATTCTCACGATCCAATATATTACCGTCTAAAAGATTTTGTTACATTTGACTACAGACTTCTTATGATAATGCAACTGAGCTTAATTTATTGCTATCAGAATGCTCAATACAATAAACACTTCCTTGATCATTAATACCTAACATCGAATTTTATATATGGCATTATACCATGCGGGTAGTATAGTCTTGACCAAACTGAGCGTTGAGCTTTTCTAAATAACTAAAAACTTACATGGCCCAGCATCACAGGTCTCTGTTTGTTGTTGTTCTGAATCTCCTGGACATGTTGCTGAATTTCCCCCAGAACCAAATATTTTTGTTCTTGTCCGATACTTATCTATGGAACCAACTCCACAGTTTCCTAAGCACTGACTCCCTGAACCACCATTTCTAGTCAACCACAGACTCCACTGGGACCACTGACAACCTAAGAAAAAGGTAACAGGATTGCATGTTTTCTGATACAGACTGCCAACCATGATTCGCACCAGTTATATCAATTACATATATCCAAATATACGACATTATTTGGAATCGAATTAAAAATTTAAAAAGCTTATATATGAACTCTTTTATGATATTTGTGTCCCTTTGCAATATCGATTAAAATTCATCACTGGATTTTGTGTAAAAGATAAATTTTAAAATGTCCCGCAGGATACGATATAAACTGTATGACTCGTAAGATGAACGAAGTAGCGATGTTACTGCTTCATAACCTTATGTTATGTTTCCGATAGGGGCCTCTTAATAACTGGCCATTTATATCGACAAAGAACTACACAATAGCAAGTTACAATTACTACAATTTATTGTTCAGTATTAAACTCAAATAACCTACAAAAAAATGTTTGGCACAGGGAATACATCCACCACGGCATTAGCTATACGAAACCGTTTGCGAGGTGAAGACAATATAATTTCTCCTTGTGATAGGCCAAAGTATACACTATAAGTTATATAATGAATATATAAGATATAATGAACAATATAAAAGGTTAACGTATACTCCAGAACTTATATATACTACAAGGAGAACTTATACAGTACTATAAGGAGAACTTATATATACTATAAGGAAAACTTATGTATAATATAAGAATATGTATTATACAATAAAACATCAGCTCTCAAACTATATGAAGTTATGTTAAAAATCTTTGGGGTAAGCACAAAAATAAAATGCCTTATAGGTATTTATATTCCCCCATATAATGAATAACAGGGGTAAATGTGGATGTCATTGCGGCCATTCAAAAATTAAAAATCTAAATACAGAATGATCTAATTCAATCGACTTACATTGTTGTATGATACAAGCCGTTCTTCTATCCTCAACAGAGACACCTAGGCATTTTTCATTGGGGTACGTGTTATTGTATTCTTCCTTTCGTGTCCGCTGCTCGGCCCTACTTCCAGTCCCACATAACTTCGAGCAAGGTCCACCCGACCAGGAACTCCATTCTGACCATTCACAGCCTACATTTGTGCAAAGCAATACAGTATTTTGGTAAATTCAACCTGCAGATATCTAAGTTGGTGCACGTACATAGGCAGCAACGATCGCGGCTTTTAATACCCTTTTATCAAAATATTATTGATTATTGATTTATTTGCCTGTCATATTTTTGTTTTTTATTAAGACTTTTCAGATTTGGACATGAACCTTCTTTCTGATTCTATTTTTCTAGTGAATCAAAGTTTCACTGAATCATCTTGTAATTCATGAAATGGTACTTTCACAATCAATTCAGACTCGGACACGAACCTTCTACTGATCCTAGTTTGAAAAATCCATATTCTAGTAAACGGTACAACTACGTACCCTTTCCAATTTTAAAAGGTCATCCTTATAAAATTTCTTGAGGAGTATGTGATGTCCCCGAAATGTATGTACTGTGTGTAATATGCATATGTAAGGAGTGATGAGGTGATAAAACGGTGTATAATTTTTGACCTCCATGTATATTTCCATTCGTTAAACTCAACCTCCTAGTCGTGAAACACATCTGTGAAACGCAACCGAATAACTTTGGATAAACCCATAATCTCGTTATATATGTGTACCAAGTATCAATTATGCTTCCTTAAAAGATACTAACCTAGAGGGTCGGGTCTTATGGTTCTTGGAATACATCTGCAAGCTTGAAGTGAAAATTCTTCTCTCTTTTTACATTCTTTAAGGAGTTCAACTTTGCCATTGACATGCTGGCACAGAAACGTTCTGCCCTCCCTAGGCACATGCCATATAGCATTTATACAGCATTTAGTAGGCGGATCGCCATATTCAGGATCATCCAGAGGGGGACACACAGCTACAATGAATGCATTGGGATGCATATGCTATCTAAATGACATTATTTTGAGAAACATTCACACCATACCATGTTATGAAGCAATGGGATAGTGTCTCCATAGGCTATATGATATATACAAAGAATTCACATTGACTTTATATCATGCAGGACCAGGGAGATCATTTTTAAGATTAAAAATCCAAAACGTTATCAAATAATATTATATATTTACCCGGTTTTATTTGACACCTTTTAAAGCAAGGGAAAAGTTCAAACTTCTTCAACCCCAGTGGACTATCATCTAAACATACTTTCCAGCAGACTTCATCAACAACATATCCCTGTTTATCAAATTATCAAAGCAGTAAAAACAGTAAATATACTATGTTTTATGAATACGTACACAGTAAGTAGAGCATTATTCATCACACTGGGGAAAATCATGGTATTTTGTTCTCAAAACATAACGCATACAAATGGGATGAGCCATTGGTATGAATTAAAGTCTCTGTCAATGCATTAGATATGAGCATTTGGTATAATTTGCAATAAAAAATTTTTATCCCCAAAACAGCAATATGTTGCAAACGAAATGCCTCTGTCCCAAATGAATTTGTGATTCAATAATTTTTTCATCGGTTCATTTAATTTTCAAGCTAGAAAACAAAATTCCAATGAGAATTTAACATTAATTTCTCATTGGAATTTTATATTCTAGCTTTAAATATTAAATCAACTGAAGAAAAAATTATTGAATCACAAATTTATTTGGGACAGAGGCATTCTGTTTGCAACATATTGCTGTTTTGTGGATACATTTTTAAATAAATTTTTTATTGCAAATTATAGCAAAAATGCTCATTTCTAATGCATTGACATAGACTTGATTTTTTGGGGGATTTTACGATTCACTACTTGCTGCAATCAACCTCACTATAAGCATATCAGCCAGGACCCGTTTTCAATCAAACTTGAACTAACTATCACTCTGCTGATATCCTTCAAAAATCAAATTGTCCCGATTTCCAAGACCTTATTGTTACCATGGCAACCATGAAAATGAAAGCAAATATGAGGGTAAAATAACCAAATCTACCATGAAAGCGCATTTTTAAACATTTTTAAACATCAAACGTTGATATCATCTATTTAAAAGCTCCTTGACAACAAAAAATTAAAAGAAATTATGGCAGGTTAATCAATGTGATTTTTGCTAGGCCTATAGCCAAAGTGAAACTGTGAAAAGGGTTTCCAACTGAACTTCTCGCCTACCTTCTTGATTCTACAGTTATTTGCACAGTTGACCAAAGAAAATTGTTGACATAGTTTCATGCATGGCGCGTATGTTGCTCCTTTATTTTTTCCTTTTTTGCCACACGATACTGAAATATAATAGATTATGTATCTCAAACATTTCCAAGTATGGGATTAACTTTCTTGGTTATTGCAATATTTCTAACTATTAACATATATCATATCGATATGTTTATCCAAAAAGTTATACATGAACAAGTATTGGAATCCACATTATAAAACTTACTTACCCGTAAGTATCACGGCAAAGAAGATCAACACGAAGTAGCCGTCTGGTCGCATCCTCGTTGGAGTGACGAAACCTTACCTAACATCAGATCATATATGGAAAATGTCCTTTCGACTCCATAAATCCAATAAAACATTTGATAAATTAATAATTGCATATACGACCTGTGTGTGCACATATAACGACCCATTATGTCACATGTTGTTTTCAAAAAAAAAATAAACACATGAAGTATGATTTCAATGTTCTTTGTGATGCATGTAATAAAAATATGAATGTTTAGGCTTAATGGTTTTGGTAGATCATTTTTCAAACGTAATGGGCTGAAACGAAGGAGGTGATATCCAAAGGTTCCTAAAACTTAGATGGTGTACGTGTAATTTTTCGAGTATTTAATTACACCTACGCGCAAGCAACAACAATACTGTATAAGTGGTACTTAATCCGAGTGGTTAATTTGCCGAATGGTCAAAATTTTATCATTCTCCTAATTTTAATTATCATAATTGCAAGAAACTTTCCATTGGATAACATTATGAAGATAATATTTCCAAGATTTAATTCACCGAACCTGGCAAAAATTAGGGAATAGGCAAATTAAATGATTAGGCAAAATTACCACTTATACAGTATACGTGCACATTGACAACGTAGCTTACTTAATCATAATGGATTTAAGCCGGTATGACATTCTGTTCATGATGTTTTGCAAAATTATATTATACATAACTTTCCAAGTCTCATAAAGATTTAGCCAACGGAATTAACAATTAACAGCTAGATATTGTACAAAGTACTATTTCAATCCAGTCTCAAACAGATATAATAATACAGAGAACAGGAGAAACAGTTGAAGCATATAGAGTGAAGTATCAGATTATATTGTATGTAATTATCTTAGTGTCATACAGATAAGTAGCTGAAATTGTTGGACCTAATTAGATTTAATTGCAATTGTTATAAGTCGTCACATATCATAGTACCCCGGACAGGTTGAATGATGCAGTCGTGTCTTTACTCTATATTTGCAATAGAACAAGCATTCTTATTGAAAGGACGGGTGTCATTAAGGGCCCTTTTTAGCCCCCAAAGTTATCTGATAATAATGCATATCATATTGAAGAAACTCATTTGTGCTTTATAAAAATACAATTTCAGCGAATTTTGACCTTTGATGTTCACACAACAGTCATTTAAAGATCATATACCATTTTGGTGTTTTTACAAAAATGTCTTTATTTATTGTTGTCTAAGTTAATAATATATATTTCGGACATGACTGTATTCACGCCTTCTATAAACTGTGAACAAAGTCAATGCTTCAGCTGGGTTATATTCGAGACCAATTCCCCGGCTCTGTACTAAGTATTTCGTTCAGTGCACTCATTGGTTAGTTTAGGCAGTTCCGTTCTTTTGGCATCCCCCTCTCGTCTGCAAAATTCAAAATGGCAGGGAGAAATTGTCCGGAGCCAAAATTTTCTTTCGGAGCATTTGTAAACTGTAATCGCAAGCATCCCGACGATCAATGTAGTAGATATGCGTAAAACCAATAAAATAGGCCGAAATGTCAATAAAAAACTTTAATCGGGGTCAGGAGGTTGGTAAACAAATTGGAACAGCCAAAAGCTCAACCGGAAGTAGAAATGAAAAAAGTGGCAATGAACATCGAAATTGACAATTTTGCAATATTCTGGTGAGTTTTCATGTTTGAATCGTAATATAGACCTCAGATCATTCTGCTCATAATTAGCATTTTATATATAAAGACTTTTGTCTGCATACTTTTACAGAGCAACCTGATTTTGGTCAGTTTGGCAATCTTAGGTAAGTTTGACGTCACAAACTTGGAAAAAGTCACATTGGTGTTTTTGGTATATGCTATGTTCTATATGTGATATTTTGAGTAAAAATCAATCAATTGTCTTCAAAATTTCACAGAGGGTGTATTATATGCCTCAAATTATGCGTGGAAAGTTTCATTAAGTTTACTTGCCTTATACAAAAGTTATTTAAGGGTTTTCTCAATTGGAAAAGACTTTTGATACAGAGGGTATATACTTTCATCTATATTGTTTTAGAAAACACATCAAACAGTTGTTTTGTTCTTGGTATCATGTTTCCAGAGTGAAATGAAACATCTTTCCGAACCTCATTGGAACAAAACATGTTTAGGTCTCTCAATATTGTTATTGTACAAAAGACATTTTGGTTGATTTTAAAAAAGTATCTTGTTTATGAAATAAAAGGTTCACCTTGATTTTCATCTATTTTTGGGAGGATTTTGTTTAATTTTTTGAATACTTTTTTAAAATCAACCAAAAATTCCTTTGAATAACTATAATATTGAGAGGTCTAAAAACATGTTGTATATGCTATCTTGTTCCAACAAGTTTCGGAAAGACATTTTATTTCATTCTCAAGAATTGGTAGAAAGGAGCAAAAACAATTGCACTAAAAAAAACAAAAACAATGTTAACAAAAACAGTTATATGAAATATTTCTAAAAAATATTGGCTTTAAATTGTTGTCAATCAGTCAACATTACATAAAATACCGTGTTTTTTACAGAATGTTTTCAATGATTGGTTTAAGAGAAAAACATTGTTGAATTCAGTTCTCCATATCGATACCACTCCTTTTGATAAAATATTTATTTTTCATGTTAGAAACTGTCTCTTGAATAAAATTTGAAAATGTCAATAAGAATGGTTGTTCCATTGCAATTATAGAGAAAAAACATGACTGCATCATTCAACCTGTCCGGGGTACTAGAGTCTTTAATATTTAGAGGTTTAATTAGTGATCTCACATTGTGCATATTAAAGAAAGTAACATCAAACATCGTATTCATATCTCAAACGATTTATTAATTTGTTTCAATTGACAGAGAAACCAAAATGTATCTTTAAATTAGAGTAGCACACTGATTCATGCTATTTTGATATTTAAGATGAGGTATTTGATATTTCATAATCGAGTTAGTTATCTGACACAGCATTCCGAACTTTCCTCAATTGATACCCCACTGCACGGATAGCGACCGTGTCTCTTTCGACGGTAAACACGTTCATCATCAACACTTCGGCCTACAGGGCATATTGGACAGATCCTTGTTCGCACTTGTCTCCCTGGTATCCTGCATCCGTTAGTACGATACACTCCCGAGACTTGTTGGCATTTCCAGGGTCCCCACGATTCCCATATGCCACAACCTATATTCGAAAGATTATATTTTACGTTTTTGCTCCAAGTGAGGTAACTGTTAAAATACTTTATCTATAAAAGGTCAGATACTCATCACGCGATCTAAAAATGTGTTGTCATCAAAATAAATTCACGACGTTTGCAGAAATCTTGCATTGCATCAAAGCAAACGCGTACCCACACATGTGAACTGTCTGTATTAACAATTTTAAAGCGTGACCAAATTACAAGAGGAACGTCATTCAAATACTGCTCAGCGTGCGTGTACACGTTCTCATGGCGTGCATGTAAGGTGATTTGGTTTGTTTTCCATTGCTTTTATAAGTCGATGAAACTTATACATGTAGAACAAACTGTTTACTAAAGAAATGTGTATAAAGTCAAAGCGTGAGCACCGAGTTTCACATATCCTTTTTACCGCAATTTAACGATCTAACCCCCCTATCACACCAAACTAGTTCTTACCCGTTCTTGCCAGTCCTACGAAAACGTCGTAAAACGGGCTCAATCTGGCTGTGGTCTTGAAATATGTCTGAAATAATTAGCTTCTTCGTCCTTAAACAGTCTTCAATACGTCCATCTCGTTCGCAGTTCGTTCAGGTCGCACCACGTCGGTGTGCAACGTCGTAGAACGCGTCCCTTAGTCTAGAAGGTCAACATGACCTGATTACAGAACGGCATGGTCGCCATCGAACTTTGAATCGATTCAAAATTCTAAAATCACATTCCCGTCTGAGAACGTTCATAAAGTTCGTAAATAGACCTTAGAAAGTTGCAGCTACGTTCATTCCATTCGCACACAGTTTCAAACTAGTTTTGAAGAACGCAGTGGCAACTTGTTTGGTGTGATAGCTATATTTTTGCTAACTCGTTCTTAAGCAGTGTTAAATACGTTCTTAATCAGTTTAAACTCGTTTGCAATTAGTTCTACCTCGTTCTCAACACGTCCTCAGACAGTTCAACTCGTTGTTAAAACGTCCCTAGTAAGATTGAAGTACGACGGTTCCGTTCGTAGTACGTCCAGCTCGTCGTTAGTACGTTGTCACTCGTTCTAATTGTAGAACGTGACGACCCCGAGTACATTTTGAGCATTGTCTAAGTTCTAGAGGACCTACCCGTTCGAGTACGTTCGATGAAGTTTGTAAATAGATCCCAAACGGTTCTTAGTACGTCCAGTCCGTTCGTACACAGTTGAAGCCCGTTTTCGAGAACGTAGTGAGAACTAGTTTGGTGTGATAGTAGGGTTACGAATTTTAGCAAAAGAGATATATGACAGGGACAGAAAGAACTGGTATGGCAATGAAAAGATACAGAAATAAAAGGTTTGCCCGGTATGAGCTAAATAGAGACGTTAAAGTAAATACTTATAAAGGTGAAAATTCAACTTGCATATATTAGTGTTGCATGAAATAGTACGCATTTCAAAATCCAGTCCTGGACAGGTGAGGGCACCACCAATGACATTCGTCAGTTTTGTCCTTCTTCTGGTACTAGTGGAAACTCCTCCACCACAAGTAACTGGGCAAGGGTCATTGACCCATAGGCCCCAATCAGTCCATCTACATCCTAAATATAATGGTGACGTACAGTGAGGAAGCACATCCATTGTCATTGAGTATTGAAGTTATACTCCAATTTACTTTATATGTATTTCCTCAAATTTAGAGGAAATATTAAGTTTTTATTATACATAACTGATATGTAATTTATAAAGTCATGTAAATCGTATACCTCTACATGGATTCCTTATGCATGATACAATTCTACTGCCAATAGGACTGCCGAAACAATCCGACGACCCTTCAGGATCTGAACCCCATACTTTGCTCCTTGACCGTGTTTGAGTCTCGGATCCAGACCCACATGTTACGGAACATAGACCAGGGGCCCACTGTCCCCAGTTCGACCACAAACAGGCTATAATAAAACTGCATGTTGACAAACTCGATCAGTTCTCAAAAAGTTTCATGAAATTTTCAAGGCTTAAACTTCGAATCATTCAAAATACAAAAGTGCCATGGGTAGAAAATGGGTCTCAAACATGATGAGATTAACACTTTCAGCAATTTTTAGAGTATCATCAACATGGTAGCCAATGTACGTTTTTTCGATCACCTTAAGGGACCCAGAGTCATACATTCACTTACTATGGCATCTTTGAGTATTGCATGATTGCGAATCTCGTTCCTCTGACACTCCCGGACAATCTGATGATCTTCCACCAGAACCAAAAATCTTTGTTCTTGTCCGGTAAACATTTATTCTTCCACCTCCGCAAGTTACTGGGCAACGCCCACCCGATCCACCGTTTCTGGGTGACCAGCGACTCCACCTTGACCATTCACAACCTAAACAAACGTAGGTATAGTATTCTAAACTCAGTTTTTGTTTTGAAAATTCTTAATAAATTTATGTGATGGTAAAGAGAATTTGCTGTTTTTCCTTGTTTTTACAAGTCGATGAAACAAATAAGAAATCATATCATAAAAACTTGTATATAGTCCACTCGAGTACCGCGTTTCAAGTACAGTCTTTTACAGCAATCTAAGGTTTTAATTATTCGATTTGCATTAAACGTGTTTGATCAAAAGAGCTATAAGAAAGGTACAGACAGAATTGGTATGGCAACGATCAAATATAGAGATAAAAGGCCTGCATTGTATGAGCTATATAGGGACTTTAGAGTCAAAACTGATCAAGGTGAAATTTCAGCTTACATTGATTGGTGTTGCATGAACTTGCTCGTATTTCAAAATCCAATCCTGGACAGGAACGTGCTCCACCAATGACATTCGTCAGTTTTGTCCTTCTTCTGGTGCTAGTCGAAGTTCCCCCACCACAAGTTACTGGGCAAGGCTCATCGACCCATACGCTCCAATCAGTCCATCGACATCCTAAATATAATGGTGACGTAAAGTGAGGAAGCACATCCATTGTCATTGAGTATTGAAGTTTTACTCCAATTTACTTTATATGTATTTCCTCAAATTTAGAGGAAATATTAAGTTTTTATTATACATAACTGATATGTAATTTATAAAGTCATGTAAATTGTATACCTCTACATGGATTCCTTATGCATGATACAATTCTACTGCCAATAGGACTGCCGAAACAATCCGACGACCCTTCAGGATCTGAACCCCATACTTTGCTCCTTGACCGTGTTTGAGTCTCGGATCCAGACCCACATGTTACGGAACATAGACCAGGGGCCCACTGTCCCCAGTTCGACCACAAACAGGCTATAATTAAACTTCATGTTGACAAGGGTTTTTCAGGACAAGCTTCCAAAATGATATTTTTGACACATGTAATGACCCAGATGCAAGTACCAGTTTCCAGTTTCACCACCAGGTGGCTTATTCTGGTCAGATAATATGGCAGATCTTGTAGAAAGTTTACTTAAACTCGAATATTCATTAGTTTTAGTGGTTCAATTTTCATATTACATGTACCTTCATGTATATGACAGTTATACAAATTGAAATATGAAGAGTAAGTAAGAGAATATATATTTCCATTTTTGTGATGATATAACATGGGGTCCCGTTACGGGAATCTCCCCGATCGAGAAGCCACATTCGCTTTTTTAATGCTGATAAACAAATTTTATATGTAGATTTAAAATATGAGATTACTTTGACTGAATAATGAATTTCAAAAGAGGTAAATCAAGATTGTTTCTACTTGCATCTCGTCTATTTGTGCACAATAACGGTGGGTCACCGAGGGTCGATGGAATTAGAATTAACCTTCACAGATTTTTAAAAAAATTAATATTCAAATATTTATTTATCCAAAAAGTCAATTGTACAAATTCAATAATTGTGTACAACATTGGCAGTAATTTTGACAGAGCTTCACAGATCGGGCTTAAAAAATGTACAACGAAATATCTGTGAGCAATTGAAACCTTAGAACATAAGTTTTTGACACCCCTCACTTTTTTCTTGGTAACTTTTTCAGTTCTCAAAAAGTTTCATGAAATTTTCAAGGCTTAAACTCCGAACCATTCAAAATACAAAAGTGCCATGGGTAGAAAATGGGTCTCAAACATGATGAGATTAACACTTTCTGCAATTTTTAGAGTATCATTAACATGGCAGCCAATATACGTTTTTTCGATCACCTTAAGGGAGCCAGAGTCATACATTCACTTACTTGGGCATCTTTGAGTATTACATAGTTGCGATTCTCGTTCCTCTGTCACTCCTGGACAATCTGGCGAACTTCCACCAGAACCAAAAATCTTTGTTCTTGTCCGGTAAACATTTATTCTTCCACCTCCGCATGTTATTGGGCAACGCCCACCCGATCCACCGTTTCTGGGTGACCAACGACTCCACCTTGACCATTCACAACCTAAACAAACGTAGGTATAGTATTCTAAACTCAGTTTTTTGTTTTAAAATTCTTAATAAATTAATGTGATGGTAAGGAGAATTTGCTGTTTTTCCTTGTTTTTACAAGTCGATGAAACAAATAAGAGATCATACAAAAAAACTTGTGTATAGTTCACTCGAGTACCGCGTTTCAAGTACAGTCTTTTAGAGCAATCTAAGGTTTTAATTATTCGATTTGCATTAAACGTGTTTGATCAATAGAGCTATAAGAAAGGTACAGACAGAATTGGTATGGCAACGATAAAATATAGAAATAAAAGGTATGCATTGTATGAGCTATATAGGGACTTTGGAGTGAAAACTGATCAAGGCGAAATTTTAGCTTACATTGGTTGGTGTTGCATGAACTTGCTCGTATTTCAAAATCCAATCCTGGACAGGAACGTGCTCCACCAATGACATTCGTCAGTTTTGTCCTTCTTCTGATACTGGTGGAAGTACCCCCGCCACAAGGAACTGGACAAGGGTCATTGACCCATAGGCCCCAATCAGTCCATCGACATCCTAGATATAGTGGTGATGTTACAATGAGGAAGCACATCCATTGTTATTGAGTGTTAAATTGATACTCCAATACACTTTATTGTACATTTATTCATATCTAGCGCAAATAGAATGTTAATATGCTATTTACATACAAAACTAGTGATGACTACATCAATTTCATTTAATTTACCATAAAGCCACATTCCTCCTTTTTGCAATGATATGTCATTCATTCACATGTGGTCATGGTTGTGTGAGAAATCTTTCTATTTGCATAGTGTGTCAAAAATCGTCTCTGGACCAAGTTTATGATATTGCAAAAATCAGTGCAAGGGTTAAGTGTCTATGGAAGTGCTCCTAACTTGAATTGCTGTGACTTTTTCTTTTGGAACTATCTCAGGAGCATCTGTGCTCACCATTTCTCCACCAGATATTGCAAAATTTGGAGAAATGGCCAATGGCCTGCTTTTTCCGCTTTAACCCACATATGACTCAGGGCTGAACCATGCATGACATGGTGAGATAAGCGCATCTATATGCGCAAAGAAGTGGTGGCAATTTGGCGGGGTTTAGGATGAATTCTTGTAAGAGTATGAGTATGAACACTTTAATGCCTGTCATACCTGCCACACCTTATTCTAATTGCCCTTATGCCCCATGCACTGACTTTTGCAATGTTTAAAACTAGGGTCCGAGCTAAATTTTACCCTACTTTGCGAATTTAATGATTATTCGGCCAGCCATGACTCCAAATGAATGAATGACATTCCATTGCAAAGAGGAGTAAATTGGCTTTTTGGTACATTAAATGAAATTGATAAAGTCATCATTGGTTTTATGTTTTCTTCTAATATATATGGGCCCCATACACTGACTTTCGCACTGTTTATAAATTGGTCCCAAGCTAATTTTTGCCCACTTTGCCAAAGGAATGATTACTCGCCCAACCATGACCCAATATCAATAAATGATATACCATTGGAAAGAGGACAAATGGCTGAATGGTACATTGAATGAAATCAATGCTGTTATCACTGGTTTTGTGCTTTTCCGAGATAACAATCTGTTGCGTTTTTTTGATACGCACTGTATATCGGCTATGTTATTTATAAGACCATGTAAACTGTATACCTCTACATGGATCCCTTGTACACGTTACAATCCTACTGCCGATAACACTGCCAAAACAATCCGGAGACCCTGCTGAGCTTGTACCCCATAATTTGGTCCTTGATCGTGTTTGAGTCTCTGATCCAGACCCACATGTAACAGAACACGAGCCAGAGACCCATTGTGTCCAAGTCGACCATAAACAAGCTGTAATACATATGTACTTCACTATGGTATCTCAGGAGAATATTCTTTTATTATGAATCATTTCAAATTCTTGCATTTGAAACAATTTCAATATTTCTAATATAGGTGCGTCGCCTATGATCGATTGTATTCATTACAATAGATCAAGCCGCGTAAAGGTGGAATGTAAGATTTTGTGAGCATGCAATAAAACCTGAAATATTTGGACATGAAAACAATGACCATACCGGGGTTGATAGCACACGATTACAATTGTAATCCCAGTTGTGTTAAAAAAGAAAAACTGACAAATCAAAAAGCGATCCCGGTAAAATGTTTACCTTGGCACGTTTAACAAAACAAAACTTGGATAACAATTCAAGGATTATATGCAATATTATTCAATTTACTTACTTCGGCATCCTTGAGTATTGCATAATTGCGTATCTCTTTCCTCTGAATTTCCTGGACAATCCGGTGAACTTCCTCCGGTGCTGAATATCTTTCTTCTTGTCCGGTAAATATTTATTGTGCCACCTCCGCAAGTTACTGGGCAACGTCCACCCGATCCACCATTTCTTGGTGACCAACGGCTCCAACTGGACCATTCACAACCTAAACAAACGAAAACAAAATAGTTCACCTCAATTTTTCACCTTATGCTTTTGGTACATTCAGGATAATTGGGAATTGCCGAAATTATTTTAATGATCACATTATACAGTCAAGCCAAGTAAGTAAGTCAACATTCGAAAATAAAAATCTCAAAAATCGTATATCTTTGATTTCCAAAAAAATTTGTGAGATGATTATTTAGATGATAATACACATTTTAACGCACTAATTTTGAACACATCTCGAATCCATTCTCAACAAAGCGTTCTCGAAATAAGTATTCGAAATGTTTGAGTTCGGGATGATAAAAGTACGTTAAGATATACCGCTCCTTAACAAACTCCTTTAGGAACAAGATATAGAATCAAATGCATATTCTTCCTATTTATTCCCTGACACATGCCAATGAATGTTGCATAAGTAAATAACTCTGTTTTAAAAAAATTTGAAAACGTTGTTCTCTACAGGTGCCATTTTTTATAATTGAAAAACAAAATTGAACAATTTGCATTTCTAAATTGATAAGTTTTTTGGAATACAACTTAACTGTAAACGATTTAAGTCATTAATAATATTTCCCTTAGTGAACCAATGCTGAATATATAGTAACTGGGTCAATGTTTTGTGTTCAACCTTGTTTTCATGACTTTTAAACATGAGTCGACGATTATGTAGGAAATTTCATTTTCAAATGTAAGCGTGTCAACTCGTTTTTGCACAATATTTAGCCCTTTATAATGATAGATCGCCAAAATATGCATGTACCTCTAAATTAGGCGATATAGTTTTCAATTTATAGATGTAAACTATAAACTCAAACAAAAATTCAAATCACCCACTCTATTATTTTGATTACACAAGACGAAATTTCCACTCCCGGGGAGCACTTTAGTATCACTTTGAAGGAGGATTCTTGAAAAATCGTTCGAATTTTCACAAAAGGTTTCACGTAATTTTATTGCTTTGTTTAAGCCTCGACTTATATTATACTCAAATCCGATACCATAATTATGAATCAAAATGAAACATTCAATAAATAATAAACCGTTTCGAGAATTGATGATTTGAGTTAATTGTGGATATTTATATAAATGTAAGTTGGCATGTATTCGACAGTTAATGTACACACATGATGTATGCATCAACGTGTGACTTAAATATCAATTCGTGACTATCACATTTGGCTTCCAAAAATTAAGTTGGAAATTACAGTGGTAGGAGATTAACGAAAACGTCAATCACATCCAAATATCCGTACGACGTCAAGTATTAACAAAACACTTTTCGTGCATCTCGAACATGGCAAGATTCTGTTATCCAGCAATGTGCATTTCGAAAGAAAAAATTCACAAATATCAACAAATTTCATTGAGTAGGATATTACATTCGAAATCACAACTTTCAAATTATTTTTTTAACCAAGAATTGTAAGAACTTGAAACATGTTGTGAGTTTTTCAAACGGCATATCCTCATTCACGTTCTTTGACAAGGATGAATCCATTTGAAAACATGGATTTTCTTGATTATTCTTCAAAACTACCCTTGAAATATAAGTATGTAGGATATTACAGTGTAAATTGACACGCATTTGTTTGCTTGATATCGTGAACAAATAAATGCAGTACCGTCTTGCAATATTTGAAAACCGAAAGTTCATTCTGTATGTAAACAAGAAAAAATACATTTATGGTTGGTTCATAATGAAAAATGACGAATAACATATATCTTTTGAAGTAGGGGTATACAGGGACACAGTGGAAAATCAGAAATTTAGGTCATATCGCAAAGATTGCTTCACCAATATGTAACAGAACATCAAATTTATCATTTACACGTTTGCTGATAGGTTTATTGAAAATAATTAACCACAGGTTTACTTCAATTGTGGCACCATTCTTAGTAAATATTGATGAACATACGAATATCGAATGTTGACTAAGTTACTTGTCCGTATAATGTATATTTTTTTTACCTTAAAATACATAAATTAGATTCAATTTGTTTGGGCCATGCTAAAGAGAAAATAGTAGAGACAACAAAATGTTAAACATGATTATTTCAAAATAATGAGCTTTTGTTAAAACCTTTGTATTGTCAAATGGTGGATGACAAAATAAGATTGGAAGTTTAATGAAAAAATCACGAAGTACATTATTTACAGTCAAAGTACCTTCTCTCTTTTTTTCTCGTATTGGGTAGATTGTTTAGACTAATAAACACACGTTTTGCATGACCTTCTATATATTCTTCTTTTTTCTTTATTTCTTGTATGCAAGCTGATTGGTTTTAGGTTCTTACTTGCGCAACTCCTTATGTTGCAGACTTGGGTCCTTGTTTGTTTAGATTCGCCTCTACAGCGTTGCGAATTCCCATTTCGACCGTATATTTTAACTCGAGTACGGGTTTGACTCTCGGTGCCCCGTCCACATGTTTTAGAACATCCATCGCTTTTCCAGTTGGTCCAATCGTCCCAGGAACAGCCTTTCGAAACAAATCTTTATTAGTGATGGTACGTTTAAATCCAATTACGACTGAAAATCAACTTTTTTACTCCAAATAAACTTGCCGAGTATTCTATGTAACCCTATAAATCGGTACCAAAGAACTGACAGGAATTATTAATATAGGATAAAAAAACACTCCAATCAAAGATTGGTTGGGTTTATAATACGCATCATCATTTTTATTATTGCTAAATGTGAAGGTTGTCTACTTACATCGTGGTTCACACTTTTCTTCCTTGGAGTCTCTTTGAATGTTAAGTACTTCTTTACAAATTTCACCATTTGTATTTGGCCCATATTTCCGTAATTCTCGGGTCCGTTTGCAAGTGATTTTACCAATCCCGCATCTGCACGTTTCGCATGACCATTCGGACCATGGCTCTTCAGGACATTCTATATCAAGTTGTATTTTACTAATTAACACGCAGAAGAGGGGAAATGGCATTTAGACGGTTATAGTTTAGGAAACATTGCGCTTAACAATAATCAGCCGAAAATGTATTACTTATGGTGGCATTCTAGTGATTGCAAAAGGACTCGATAAGTTCGCAATAAATTCATTTAGCCTGCTTAACCAACATATCAAGGTGAGACCCAATCGGTGTCAATCGTCGAGTAGGTGTCAGAACCCATCACATATGTTCACTTTCCTGAGCAATGTACATGTAAATTAGAGTATCTGATACTTCAAATCTTGCCAGAGCAGATTATCTCGAGCGGAGAAAATTAATAGACCCTAAGAGGTGCTTTTGCTGTTTTTATATCATGTTGAACTTTTCATGCTTTAGAAACTATAGTCGTATATTAACATTCAAATAAAACGGTACATTAGGAGTATGGTACCATACATTATTGTTCGAATGTGGTATCATACTTTACTGTTTTACTCTTAGACAAAACGGTTTTATACGATACCGTAGGAGATATACAATGCAACACAATTTAATATTATCTTTTTATACAATATTTTCCATGTGAACAAATAAGTCGTGAACCACAGAACTAGCATTTTGGTACCTTGCTTTTGTTCAGTCAAACAGCGGCAATTGTTATATCTAGTTATGGCAAAAATAAAGGTTCGATCACATGTCATTAGTACTGGATTGACATCAGATATTCCCCTCACGGTATACTCTCTTCCTCCAAGAGGGACGTACCACTTCCCGTCCATACAGCAAGCCGTTGGAGGGTTTCCTCCATACCCCGGGTCACCTTCAGGGGGACACTCTTCTACAGTGTCAAATATGATTGAATAAAGACATGTTTCTTTATAAAAATAGCGTGTTTAGAAGTTAGATATTACTCCATATTAACTGGAATGAAATATGTCCTTTTGTATATGGCTAAAGACACAGTAATTTAAAGTAAACCTTTTCTGATATAAGCTATAATAAATAATACAGACCACTTTGTATCTCTAGCGTCTGTTACGAAATTTATTAATTATTTAATTATATATTAAGTATTTATTAATGCATTGTGGCTGAATATATAAGTTCATTCCCTATTCCTCAAACAAAAATAATGTAGTATTGTTTTGATCAAAAAATATTTCACTTCAAAATCCAAAACGATGTTTCCGGTATATTATTTCCTCGTGGACGGCTCCGCTGAATTGTGATTTTCTTGACATGTAATACTTTGATATTCATTTAGGATTTATAGCAGTAGATAGTGAAATCCAATAATAAACCATGCAAATACTGCAGAATTAAAGAAATATAATTTAAAGCTGAATGTTACAGTATTAAATGACCAAATGGAAAATTAGAGTAATGCTATTCCAAAGTAATTTGAATTTTTTGTTTACTTAGCAATTCGTATAATATGAACTGTTGTTTGACACCCAATAACTGCATTTTAATTTCCTTACCATGATGACGACTGTCCATTGTGATTGTTTTGATATTATAAACTATGGTACTCGAAGGGGAGAAAATACCTTAACTGGAGGTTTATATCAGGTTTTGATTTTTGGGCACATTGTTTAATACCTGTAGTTTTATAACCAAGAAAATTGTTGCATACCATCAACACAAATCATGTTTGCATTTTTCTGCTCAATCCATTTCGTATCTCTTAGTAATTCCCAGCTGAATGCAGAAGTAGGACTTTGAACTCCATTTTTAATGGCGATGATATTTGAACGAGCGGAATAAAAATCCGAATCAAAATCCGAATCAATCACCCATCTGCCCGTCCTTGCAGTAGACATTACAAAGTATATGTTGTAGTCTGAGAAACCCTGTTTCGTATAACTAGGTATATTGGCAACTGTCTTGGCATTGTTCAGAAATATCCCATTCATTGATGAAACCTCCATACCAGATAGTTGTAAACGTCTACAACCTTAAATAAAATAACAAACAAGGGGAATAATTAAAATACAGAAAATTTCTTTTTCAGGAAAGACGTTTCAAGATTCAAGGACAAAATATTTTCGATACTTCATCAGAACTCATTGAATAACTCGATTAAACTCATTATTCCAAGGATTTTTTTAATACCCGGGGCTTAAGTTGTGTAGCAAACGAAACGACACGACATCCGGGGCTTTATATGATCTGCATTACACAATGTGTATAGAGGGGTCAGTTTTCTCAGACCTAGGTACCCTTTTCTGTACCGCTTTGCGGTTATTTTACTCTTTGGCATTGTAGTCCGTTGACATCATTACCTACATATAGGGTGTTCAAAAAACGCAACCCAAAGAAATCGCTATATCTTGGAAAATACTTATCCAAATATGTTCATATTTTCAGGAAAGAAAGGAGAGACTGTTTATGTATAGCTCCTGTTGTTAGTTAGTTGTAAAACATGATGTCTTGGACACTTGCTCAAAAGACAGTTGTACTTGGAAAATATTAAAATGCAGTCAGAAGTGACTGCCACAGCAATAAAACCAAATAACTTTCTAACCATGGTGTTTTGGCACTTCAGATTTGGCACAAATTATCCTCATTCAATGTGTGGTGAATTTGTTGAGTTTCATCAAAATCACTCCAGGGACTTTACAGTCATGGTCAAAATGCCTTCTTAAGTCTCCCTGGACCAGGGCGTTTAACTGCGATTTGAAAGAATTTCAAACATGACTGCAAAGTCCCTAAAGTGATTTTGATTTCACTCTACAAAGGAGGGCGAGTTGTTTGTAGAATGAATCGGGGGATTTTTTTCATGAATTTCGCTTATGTTTTTCATCCAAAAAACATCAATACACTTTAAAACATTTTGTTTACTTTAAGATTACACCATGTAATCCAAAAATATATTTCTCATTTTCAAAGATAATCCATGGATTAACACCCAGGTATTTTTATTTTTCAATCTTCAGAGGGCTGGGAATCAATGATGCTCAACGCTTTTGAATACGATAAATGCTGTTTTAAATAGGTTTTACGTATGCCAATAATTTCTCAAATTATGTAAGCTGAATGCATTCCTTAATCCCTAGAATGCCTATCATAATAACATTCTTTTGTCTTGGCCACTTAATATGTTTTGTTGCTGTCTGATCATCAAATCAAATTGTTGTTATTTAAAGATGTCAGTCAAATCTTGTGAAACAGCACAACATTTACCTAAATAACACGAGTACATATTATGTAACTCATTCATAATATTTCATGCATCAGGTATTAAGGCTTAGGGGATTAACTTTTACACATAAACTGAACTGACAGATGTGCACGCTTACATGTACAACTTCCAGGATTGTAAGAATTCAAAACTTGTTGATAGCCATATTTTCCTGAATGTGACATCGAGATATTGTGGCATTTATGAGTGGTAAAACATGAAAAAAAGCATTTTCATTTAAAATTAGCATATGATTTGAATTGATGCCAAGAAATGTATTAGTTAACTGTATCCGTTTTACATCCATTGCAGTTGGCTACATTATAAGACAAGGCATTCACATGCAAAATGTCAACACCTGCCATTTGTTACAGACACCAACTGCCAAACACCAACTGCCAAATGATAAACACCAACCACTGAACACCGTCCACAAAAAAGTTTGAGACCATAACAATATGTCACCACTTGTGGTGGTGACATAAAAATGATCATGGAAAATTGTATTTTTTTTAAAAAGTAGGAACTTCTGAGGTTTTTAGAAAATTGGAAGACAAGGAGGGATTCTGGGAAGGATATTAGGGTTATAAATTGCAATGAAACTAAAACAAAACATTCTTTTTCTCAAATATCACAGTGTATATTCAAATCACAAATACGATATCATACAATTACAATAAGGGTCTAGTGCACTTTCCATTATGATATCCCCATGAACAAAATGAATCATTTTTAGGTGTAACATAAAGAATTCAATGTCACATAATACTGTGGAAAATATTTGGGCGTTTGGACCCACGCGGGCTGAGGTTGAGGTCATTTAGTTCAGCAAGGGTGTATTGACTTGCCATTGAATGGGCTCCATTGACTTAACATGTGGATATCATCAATTCCAATAGAGGCCATTGGTTTCTATTGATTTTCACAAAAATACCTAAAATACACTATGACCTGAATCGATTGCAAATTAAATAATTTCACAGTATGACACAAATGGTATATCACATCAGATGTGCAAATATAAAGTTTGCAATCGATTCAGGTCATACTTCAAATTAAAAGATTATACATTTTTTCCATCATTTTTTCCTACAAAATGGCTATAGAAAAATGCTTCAAAAGCAACTTTTATACTAATGAAATCCCATACAACTTTCTAAATCCAAAGATTATACTGTTATGTTTCATTAATTAATAACATATTTGGATAATATGTTGGGATGTGTAGGATGCAAATGGATTTTGACAGACACAAAAAGACTTCTTGGTTTGGCATCTCTACCCCTGTACACCTTATGATTGAATATTGGCCCTAATAAGTGGCCCATTCATCAATACAGTGCTGAATATAGGTCAACAAGATACTAGTGTACATATAAATGTAATAATACCTATAGCTAGGTCTGAATATTAAACTCCAGCCAAATAGAGCCACCACAATATTTCAACCTTTGTAACCCTTGCAAAAAGATTTTCTTGCAATAAAAATGTAAAAATAGCTTAGGGTACTTGTAAGCCAATTTGATTTTAAGGTAGACATGTCTCGATATTTTTCAATAATTTTCATGATTATAAATACCGATAATCAATGAAAGGGACAATATTTTCACATTTGTAATTGTATGTGTATGCATGGTCCATGTGTATGTTACCATAATTCTTTATATCCACTTAAAATGTAAAAAATTTTGCCCAATTTATAAATATCAGATAATTTATTCATCACCAAAATTAGTAAAAATTATCAACATGCAGAACTACCTTAAAGAGTTTAATCTCTCTCTCAGTCACAATCATGTCAACCAAAACTGTACTCGTGTTACATAATATAGGATTATACAGCTTACCATACGTGTGCAATCTATATAGCATCCACACTGACATCTTTACAGAATCATATATAATTTTTGAATATAAACTTATTCAACCCAATACACTGTGGCTAGTCGATCTATGTGGATGCAGTCAAGCACATGTAATGTTTCGTGAGTACCCGCCTCTGTACTTTTCAATGGAAGAAATTTGCACTTTTGTTTAAATAATCTACATTTACTCATCCGTGTATATCATACTTCATTGATTTACCAAACCAAAGCAACGCTATAAACACACATTCTCTGATAATTTTACAGCGAATAGATAACTCAAACGAGTTCACTCGACCAGATTTATCACCTCGCTCATATCCGTGAGAAGGTATGTATAATTTGCCATAGGTTTACCTTATAATGGGGAATAAAAAATTCAAGTAATATAATTATTTCACGTACACAAATATGTCCGTGTGAAGTAAAATACAAATACAACGCATTTTATACTATTTTTGGGGTTATGGTATGAAATATCCGCTTTAAAAAAGCAATTTAATTATGATGTATCATGTGGATTAGTAGACGTTCTAATTGGATTCAATGAACAGACTGGCTAGGTTTTAATTGAATCATTTTGAATGTGTGTATTTTTAATATTTTACATATATTTCTTAAACGCTCTCATTGGATACATCAGGAAGAAACAAATATGGTTACATTTTAACTTGAGTTGGGACAATGATTCAACAAAAATATAATTTTACAGTAGTATATGGTAAATATTTGATGCCCAACGATAATCTGATGTTTACTCAAGATGATGGACATTTTGATTTGATTTTCAATATATATCACAACTATTTTGTAGATGGATCTGGTTGTCGTACAGCCAGTGGAGGAAACTGCCCCAACAGGCCACATGTGCGATGAATGCGGCAACCTTTTCAATAGCTAAAGCGCACTAAAAATGCATGGTAAAGAACCATGGCCTCCTCCACCAATGTGCTACTGCAATACTTATAGCGAAGCCTGTGTTGATCAGGACCATTTTTATTAGACTCCAGATGTAAATCTGGAGTCTATAGCTTTTGTCAGTATTCTTCTTCTTCTTTATTCTTCTACACACGTTTTCTCCTTAACTAGAAGACATTGAGTCAAGTCCTGTATATGGTCAATTTAGGTCCAGTATCTAGTTTCTCGGAAATTGGGTCAATTTTTTATCTAGGTCAAAGGTCAAGAACTAGGTCAAATCTTAAATCTGTCTATTATCTTCGTCGTTATTTATCGAAACAACTTTGTCTTTTATCATCATGTAGCTTAGAAACAGCCCTTTCATAAGTGTGCCATCAGATTTTTGATTACTGTTACCGATTTTGAGATATGGTGCCCGGAAAGTAGGTCAGAACAAAAAATACTCCAAATTCGAGATGTGAGTTATGATATAAGTGTAGAATGATCTCAGGAATCCGAATCTGCAAACCAAATTTGACTTCCGGTTCTGAAGTTATTGCGTTTTGAAAGCTCAAAAATCGCTAAATGTGGTGCCCATGTTAAGTCAATGGGAAAAAAGATTTTTTTGAAGTGAATAATACGAAATATAGACTGAGTTCAGCTAAATACAATGAAAGCTTTTAAAAGAATGGAACCTCAAAAGCCATCTAGCTTCAAAATTTGGACACCAAAATGCCTAGGTCAAAATCTAGGTCAAATTCAAAGTTTTTCCTTATTTTTGCGATTCTGACACTACACTTTAAGTATATTCTTCGAAATGGTGTATACATGTAGCCAAGAGTGTGCTAATAGTGTTAGCTTTTTGCCGTCAAAAAGTATTTTGACCCAATTTTGAGATATGGCGTCCGAAAAGTAGGTCAAAATAAAAAGTTCTCCAAATTCAACGTATGAGTTATGAATTAAGGATAGAATTTTCTCAGGAATCCAAACCTGCAAATCAAATT